TTTCAATTGTTGTCTTGATGTGCTGTATTTTTATCATGTTTATTTTTATTTTTTGTTGAAATTGTTTATTGTGTAGTTTCCTCATTCTATACAAGCAATTAAAATGATTAATTGTTTTATTATGTGATTATTTAGCGGTAGTGCCTTATTCCGTCATTTTCAGAAGCCTTTGTTCAAATATAAGAAAACTATTTGTTAAGTTTACAATAAATCATTACTCTTAGACCTTTTACAATGATTTAGATCAATCCAATTTGCTTATTTCAAATTGGAAAATTTTGATTTTGAATACAAAATGTCCTTTTTCGCTTGTATAATAGAGCTTTCCATGAGTGTTTTTAGCACTTTGAATATAAAGTTAAGTATAATTTTGCCTTGCAATAGTTTCAGCAGTCAGAGTAAGAAACCACATGTTTTAATAATAATTGCATCCTTGATTGTTGCTTTGAGTTGATTAAATGAAACATTGTATAAAAATACTATTAGAAATAGCCGTACAGTGATACATACTACATATATTTCTAAATATTTGCCGTGTGTGGATTTTTTATATTTTTTTAACCTATCATAGTAGTTCATTTTGATACATTCATCATTTAATTACAGCTTCACCTTTTTAATATTTTAGCAATTCTTCTGGTCCGAATATAGGTTAAATATCCAATGCTTCAAACATCATTTTTATAAATACAGAAGCCTGACTAAAACAAAATTAAAATATATATTTATCATACTGTCTTTATATTTCCGTAATAATGGTTTATAACATGAGTTGGTAAAACAAGATATTTACCATGACTATAACTGATCATTTGTTGGATACAAATGCTGAAAAAAACCTTAAATTTGACAATTTTTCCGTTTAAAAGGGTGACAAATAGATGGCGCTGCAACACACGCTTATCCAATAAAATTCAAGTGAAACTTCCTTGACCAACGTGTCGTGTGTACCAAATTTCATGAGATTCTGTGATAATCACATACCAGAGAACTAACTATTGTATAGCATGTGTTTCTACAGGTATTGTCTTGTAACTGAAAAAACATACGAATGAAATATGAATATGATTACTCGTGTTTAGGAAGTTGAACATTTGCCCTTCCATTTAATCTAAAAGAAATTATTATAACTATATCATAAAACATAAGATATTTTATGTCAGACTATTAACTGACCTTTTGTTTGTATGCCTGTACATTGCCAATATAGGACACACATATGATATTGAATACATTGAAAACATAAATAAAACCAAAATGATTTTAACAACATAATGTTAATTATAATTAGAAACAATCATTGTCTAAAAGCGTACAATAATATATGTTAGCTTGAACTATTGACCACTTCATGTCTTAACGTCCCGATTGCAACTTTAATAGTTCTCACTTCTAAGATTGTCCGATTGGCCATGTTGTTATTGGGTCTGAAAATTGCAAACAACACTTATTAACTATATGTGGTAACCAAAAGGTCAAACCGTGAGCCTTAGTCCATGGATTGGAAACAGAATCGTATGATATACTAATGATTTCAGTGGAAAATAAAGGCACCACACTGGGCTAAACGGGAGAAAGATGAAGTTTTCTGATATAATATTATCTTTATGACAGGAATGTCATAGAGATAAAAATCATTTTCTTATTGATATTAAGTTTCCATCTATAAATGCGAATCATATATAATAATAAATTCAGAAGTACGAGACTGAATGATGAAACGGAACACAGAAATATTTAAGAATATATTTCATTAGGCACTGAAGTCATTTCACTGAGTCTTACTCGACCATCCGAAATAAGTCAGACTTTTAGTGAAAATAACTTGACCCCAATCTTTACCCTACTTGCCCGTACTGATTTGTTCCCGACCCTAATCTGGACCATGTCTAAATATATTTGTGCATTATTTCGGCTGTTGTCTGCTCTTTGGTCGGGTTGTTGTCTCTTTGACATACCCCCCATTTCCATTCTTAATTTTATTAAACTAATTCATTATTATTAAAAACTGGTCGAATACAGTCCATATTTGGTCGATAATGGTTCAAACATTGAACAAAGATTGGGAACAGGTCGGAAATGGGTTAAGACGAACTCTTACTGGCTAAGTACTAAATCAGACTTAAATGTGGTCCAGACATTGATAGAGTACAAATCAATTCCATCGCGTATGGTGAAGATTTGGGTCGACTAATCCATTAAATTCCTTCTTATTCAATTCAGAACGGTCGAGTAAGAACCAGTACAGTTGAGAACATATAATGCCAATTACAGACTTTTACTGTTTTGTACTGTATATCGGCAACGGACTTTATCCTCGGTCGATATACATCTTTCTGGTCTGCGTGACTGTTTATTTGAAGAAAAAAAAAACATCGTATTACTGTTCATTTAAAATACACCGTAATACTGTTCATTTAAAATACACCGTATTACTGTTTATTTGAAATTCATCGTATTACTTGGTTTACAAACTTTCGTCGTGTGTTTTTTTTTTTCTTTCATCTTTCACAGATCGAACTTATAATGGTATGCAAAGTTAACTTATAGCATGCATCGCAATGTATGAACGTACATAACATTGTTGAGTAAATAACAATCCTTCAAAAATTACAAATAAATCAGACAAAATTTACAACTTCCTAAACGACAATTTTCTTCTGGTACTAATAAATTCATTCTATTAACATGTTTTATGTTATTTTGACCAGAATGTTCTTCATTTTATCTGAAACATCGACTTCCTATCTTGACTAGGTTGAAATACCCGCTTTGTTTTGTTTGTTTGTTGTTTGTTTGTCTAATTAAAAAAAATTCTTAGATTAATTTTTTTCTTTTAACATGTTCTCTTTTTGTTTAGAAGAAAACAGATGCACTAATTGGATACTGTGGATTAATTTTTTCGTGGGTAGCATTTTTCCTCGGGTTGAGAAAACTTACATTTTCGTGTATATTTGATTTCATAGTTTTGCTAATGTCTGCATACAAGCAAAAAAAATATTCATTTAACATTTAAATTTGTCGTTGACTTGTACTTTCGAAATCCACGGAAATTTGTATCTAATGAATAATGAATCATCAGCAATACAAAAACATCTGAGCTCTCCTTAAAGTATATACAAATTGATGTTTATATACTTTCTCATTCAATAATGTTCAGTGATTAGAGAATGATTATATAGAAACGAATTTGTAAATGTTGTAAGATAAGTAAAGAGATATGTAGCAAACCGGTACCCCAAGGGTTACTGTGATATGGAAATATGGTTACTTTGGTCTTCTTAACCGCCAGGAAAACCCTTGTGACAACGGGCTGTCAGTTTGTCTGTGCGGGATGCATAAATATTCAGCAACGTCCAGTCAGAATGGGGACGTCAAAATCTTTGCTTCGTGTAGAAAGCGTCTCATGCTTTCTTTCCATTTGTCGGTGCAGGATATATAGATACTCAGCAACGTCCGATCACAATGTAGACGTCAGATTCGTTGCTTCATGTAGAGAACGTGTCATGCTTTCTGCACGTTAAAACCCTTGCAACAGCTCTTTGAGAAGCCCGTTGGTGGCCTATTTCACGGCAAAATTGCTGTCCCTATCCAATATACCATAGTTCTTTTCAGAGGCATGCTTGTCTTAAATCAGACCGGTTGATCCCTATCGTATGACATATCTATTGTATTTATTGTTAATTTGTTTTTGTCCATTCATGAAATATTTGCCACAAGACATCAAACAAACAACAACAATAATCTAGCAAACACAGAATATCACTGAACCTTGTATTGCTGTATTTTGTATCAAAGTGTAGAAAGTATCCATTCATTTACTTATAAAAATGAATCCCATCGGTGCCGATTTAGAGGTCTAACTCTAATAAAGGTATAGACATTTCTCTATTGAAGAGGTTTTGAAAATGAATTTAATTGGATTGTTTCATAATAACAAACAATAGTTTACTATAAACATCCTTCATGATGCAGTTGTGTAATATTTGTGATACAGAAATGTAAAATAAATCGAGAATATCATATGGATATTTCAATATCACACCTATATCAACCCGAAACACCAATAAAATCCCAAGAGTTCTGCCGGAGGGATTATATCGGTTGATGGTTGATACGGTGTGTGATATTGAAAAATCCATATCATATACACTTTATTATAAACATGTACCTCAAGTACAGCTAATCCCTCGTGTATTTTTCACGAGACAAGACGTAATACATATTAGGGGTTTGATAAAGCTTTTGTTACCGTGACAGATATGATTACGTGACGTCATACAGATTAGGGGTTTAATAAAGCCTTTGCAATCGTGACTAATATCGATATCATCACGGAAGGCTGATACAGCACGATTGTCATAAATTGTATTACACATACAATTTACCTGTATTTACCATTAGGTATATAATAAACATGATAATATAATGACCTCTAGTAAGCAAGATTGATTTGAAACTCAACCCACATAAAAGATCAGAGGTTTCAGTGACCAAATGGTACAGTTAGCCTTCTGATCTATTTACTGTTCAGTATGTGATTGTTTTATTATTAAGTGTTGCAACCTTCATCCAAATCTGCGAATGATCTAATAGAACATAAAAAAAATTACTTAGGAACATAGCTAGCTTTTCCGTGCGGGTAAAGAGTTTGTGCCATCCACCACTCCGGTGACCAGATTAAATATGGGATATTTAAAATAAAAATGACAGCAACAACCAGATTAAGAATTTTGGTCGAATTGACCAACTGATGGAGAGGTAAAAACCAGTACATGCACTACAACATAGTTATTTTTGATAAAATAATGATTATTGCAATACTGATGGAAGCAATGCATATAATAAAAGTTATACAATTTGATATGAAATTAAGTTGACAAATTTACTGAAAATTACATTTATTCATACGTTATTAAACATTTAATTGACAATCTTATCGTTAACGTATCAAACCGACTGTATGCTTTCAGAGCTGATGTTATACTATATGTATTTGTTCATGGATTCGCATACCGTCCAACAAAAAGAATAGTTCCCGAATTGTTATCCCGTATGACAAACATGAATGGATGGTCAGCTACAAACTGAAAAGGTCCGCTCATTGAACTTGTCATCACCATCTGAATCGTTGTAGCAGCAGCAGCTTCAGTACCCTGTTCTGTGACTTCTATGTATGACTTATGACGGGCGTCATTTACAAAAACTGATTTCATGGTTGTCATCTTTGCGAAATTTGCTGTCTGCGAGTCGAATATTTCAGTAATTCCTAATGATGTTAGTACTGGTTTTAGATCATATTTAGCTTCAAATACGAATTTTGGAATTCTGATTATTGTATCTCGTGGCCTAATTCCAGAAAACAGACTTTTAAATGTTGTCATATTTATTTTACTTTCAAGTTGAGATAGTCCATTTGCATCATTTGGTAATAGAAATATCATTGATAATTTATTTCCCGTATATGGAAGTTGCAAAATTTTGCAATCCAACTCGGTGTTCTCACCAGCAACCACATTGCGTTGGTCATACATCATATCAACTTGTTTTTGTTGGTTAGAATTGTTCAGAAAATTCCTCTTTGTTGTGTTATGTGGGTTAAACTCCTTATTCCAAGTTCCTTTAAAGTAAATTGCATTGGCTAAAACCATAACAGTTGCCGAAGTTATAGTTTTAGGTGGAAACATATTCTTGATTTTATCTTTCGTTGCGTTTGCAATCCAATTATTAATGTAGATTCTTGACTGATTTGGTGCCGATTTAAAATTCATGCTTTTCAAATCGCTACCGTAGTATTGTAAAGCATTCGCTGTAAATGTGTTTAAAACATTTAATCTGTTATCTCCAAAAAGCCTGCTACCAATCGAGAGCTCTACTCCATTCCCTGTTAGTGAAGACAGTTTATCGTTAAGACGTTTATAACCAATGTTGACATCACTTGCCATGTTTTGTTTGAACATCGAAGATCTCATTTGTTTGTATGTAGTTCCATCTGTACCGAGCATCAGAAGCATCAATGCGCTTGTAATACTATATGGAGAAATCAATTCATTTCCAGTTTTTTCGACTGCATTGTACAAAGAAAATGATAACTCACCAACTGCTTCTTCGAAGGCAACATTAGATGCCATTTATTAAGATATTAAGCTGTGTTCAATGAAAACGTTTATCAAAAGAAGTGGAATAAGATTACGGTAAGTACAACTACATTATTATATACAAATAATACTATTGCGCAGATTGATTTATGTCTTTTTTAAACATGACCTTTCACTTGTTGTGGTTGCACAAAACACAAAATGGTAATACAGTTTTACGCAATTTGCCTTTTTTATATATTGTGCATGTGAGACATGGGATTAAAGGGAAATTACCTAAAGTGTCCAAATAAAAATATGACTGTACATGCATATACTTTCATAGCAAAATACTGCATTTTGTTGAATGTAATTTATTTTCGCATAGTACGCACATATGTATGAAAATAATATATTAGGAACAGTTAAATCAAACATACAAACAACTTATTTAATGTAGACATTTCTCCAGAGAATCACAGTTTTTTTAATAAATATTGAAAGTTCAATAAGTGGTTTAAGATAAATGATAACAAGTTTATTAATTGTAAATGTTTGGACGCATGTATTAGGTTCATTAGCTTTAGACGGTTTACACCTTTAGTGTGTGAATGCGTATACATGCGAGGAAAAGTGTATGCATATAAATCGTTACTATCAGAAAACAGATCTTTTAATAGCTTATGAAATTCTTAGTAAACAAAACATTTTTACCATTCAATTTCCGATTGAAAATTGTTCATGACAAGGACTATTATTTGTAGATCCTTTTTAGTTATTTAGCTTTTAAAATGTTTCGGTTCTTATACATAATTGACCCTCAAATACTGTAAGGTAAATCCAGAAAAGCTCTAAATTATTGTTGTCAATTGTTTTTTTAAATCTGACAATTTTATTTCATGTAATAATATAGTTTAACATATTTATTCTTTACCTATGATGACCCTTGTTGTTAAAATTCTTCAAAAATATTAAATATCCCTGTACAGTATTTTTAAAATGTAGCCTTTTTGCTTTATCCGACAAATCTACCATATAAATTCAATGACATGATTGGATAAGTCTAAAACAATTCCATGAATTCTTCGCATAAACCTACACACATGACTTAGGTGTGGAACGTGACATTTTTGCTACAACAAGGTCGCTACGTGATCGTATGTTTTCAAGGACAACACACAGATATCCGGCTTGCAGAATACCATCAATGTAACATATTGTCATACATTTAAAAACTTTAAATGAAAAAGTGTGTTAGAATATTAAGATTACATAATAGTGTTGTTGAATGTTTAAAACTTGCAATTTTAATTATATTACCTCTTGCAATAATGAGATACCTTGGAAAGTGTTCTTGTATAAGACAATGATGACACAAACGATCACAAAAACAAAAACAATCGAAAGTCAATACGTCGGTCAAGTGTTAGTACACAATAACATGGAAATTGTGCGATTAATGTGAATTAGTTTGGGAAAGATGTGATTTTATCATACAGCCCGCACATTATTATCTGTTGGGTAAATGACAGTATTTTTTACGTAAGGAGTGAGGAATTTGTGTTTGCAATGGTCATGAAACATTAGAATTAATAATTTCCATTTGCCTACAATATGACATACCAAAAAAAGACTCATCACTGAGTTTGTACTCACATCATCAAAACGACGAGTGTCACATGTGGAACTGGATCTGCAGACCTTTCCGGATTCTTGATGCTTGGTCTGTTTGTTTTTGAGTTATGAGTTTTAATATCCCTCTGGTGGCAATCGCTTCTCTTTTTTAGACATGACAAAACTATACCGGGGGGGGGGGGGGGGGGGGGGGGATGGTTGCTGGTGGTTGCTGCTAATAGTTTCCTTGCAATAACTAATGAACCGTTTAGCCAATGCTCTAAAATTTTGATATGTTGTTAATAATGATAAAAATGGAGTTTAAGTTGAATATTGACAATTTTCTCTTTGTTCATTCAAGAGTTAGAGTCCTTGATCTTTTTGCAATGACACTTTATTTCATTTCCATGCAATTACTTATAAAGCACTTGACAAATGCTTTAAAATTTATTTGTTGTTAGTGATACAAAAATTTAGGTAACATTTGATATCATTTTCATTTTTTCAGGAGTAATGCTCTTTGATCAATTAAAAAAATAGGCATATACTATGGCAGTTAAAAAATGCCTTCAAGCTCCTTTCAAAAATACAGTAATACAAGTTTCCTGTCAAATTGAATGTTCATTCCTTGTATTATGTTTAACTGCCAAAACAAAATTTTGTCAAAACGATTATTTTGAGTCTATATTCATAAAAATAAGGAGATGAGTATGATTGTATATCTAGATGAAAAAGAGAGGGGACAGATATGAAATAGACATTCAAATATTTTATTTATGTTAGTATACATTGTTCTGTTATCACATGTTTACCACAAATCTAGGTTCAATTATCAAAAAAGAACATATTTTCCGTAGGCGTTGTCCAGGGGGAAAATCGAGATACAATGAAATTTGGTTTGGAATATATATTGAGCTTTAGATGAGGTCAATTCAGTTATGTAATCATTAAGTGTCAGTGCAGGACGAATCTAGAGGTATATTTTAGATGGCCATAAAATAGCGTTTTTGTTTAGAATTTTAAAAAGTATTTACCCGTCATCAACTGTTGGAACATTATTTTGTTCTCGCAAACTTTAATTTAATATAAAGTGGACATTCAGTGGTTTATTAGAAGATGCGATTAACTTTTTTTTTATCACCCAGGACTAAAAACAAAATTCTATTTGGCTAACATTCTCCTTATTAGTGGGGACTTTAAATTAACATAGAAAAGCAGCTAGACCCTAATCATGCTATACAGATTTAAGGCCTATTCTAAGATCTGAATTTTGTAGTAATATGAATTGGCGCTTTGATCTAATAAGTTTGACATAACATTTTACAAGTCTCACTTTTTCCTATTGACACTGCTACTACAGCATGTACAGTTATCATGTTTGGTATTTCCGATTCAAAGTTTGGAGCTATGAACAGTTGGCATTCTGTTTCTTACAATTGATATATTGTATTGATTCTGAATATATATTACTTTTTTCTCACTAGGCATTGTGAGTTTTATTTTCAATAATCTTTTAATACATATATGGGACTGACTGATGGAGCTTGTGGTGAAAGTAAAAATTCAGCGACGCAATGTGTTATTTTTCCCGTACTTTCACTTTACCATTTTTGACGACCGCCCATGTGTTACTTACGCTAATTTCAAGTTAATTGTTAAAGCTTTGTTTTCAAAATGGGAAATACAATGAAGAAAGATAACAGAGTTATTTGGAAGCCGCAGTTTTTATAATTTTACAAATGGTAAAATGAATTGCAACATACCTTTGCATGGTGATTCCCACATCAAATTCTTAAAAATATTTTTTTTTTCTATTAAAAGATTGAAGCTTCCTTAGTTCAAATTTGTTTCCGTGATCGGCAAATTGTAGTCATGATCGAATGTACACTTATTCTGACCTGCAACCGTTTTCATATGTGAATAAATTGATTGTATAGTCATATGCGTTATGATAATACAATATTGTTTTTAATAGAATTTAAGTCTTGTACTTAAATTCAGTTATCACGGTGCGCTGTACCCTATATATTTTGTTTGGTTATTAGTGAGTTTACGTATACATTTGTACCATAATCTCATTGGTGGTTATCGAACCTTAAAATCTGACGTAACGAGCCTTTTTCAATTTGGATCCAAGGAGGAAGGCCTGAGACATTTGAACTCAAATATAAAACCAAAAACCCGCCATCCCTCCCAGTAAATTGATTATTTTGTAAATATGAACAAGTGTGGACACAGAGTTGTGTCATTCATATGGCCTTTTTTTGTAATCATTTGTGCAGGGGTTAATTGTGCAGAATGTCCGTATATGCACATGACATTTAAATCAAACGTTTTGATGCGTTTGACTTGCAAATGTGGACACTGTTTTATATCAAAATAGAAACAGATACTTGGAGAAGTTACAATACAATACCGATGAAGGACATCTCTCAAAAGAAACACTTGAAAATTACCAAGAATGATATTGGTCTGCAAAATATACCCTAATACTGACTCCATACACCAAATTGAAATTTAAAGGAGCAAGATAAAATAAATGTTATCCAATCTTTGAATCATGAATGCTAGAAAGCGTCAATACTTCAGAGTTTCGGTAAACATATTTGTTATTGATATTGAACATGCAATTCCTGTAAATATATTCAGAATTATAAACTGCTTTGGTTCATGTTATCTTTTCAAGTGATGTGTGAGTTGACATTTCTTGAAGCCTACGTGTATTTTGCGAAATGGACAGATGAAGAATTCCGCTTGATGTCAAAAGAACTGTCGCAAAGAATGACTTACAAATTTACTCGGATTGCAGAATTCGCTACATCAAAAAACATTTCGTTTTATAAATAGTATCAATCACTACAGATGAACAAATAAGAGTTTTCATCCCTCACCTGTGTTCCCACGGTGATCCAAATTGTTCTAATCTTATATTCAGTTACCAAAATCTGTGGTAGTCATTTATATATATATATATATTTGATAGTACGGTTGCCATAATCAGCGATATGCCGGTAACCTCATATTTTCAGATATACAAATGACTGTTTAATTACCAGCGATCTGCGGCACTTACATACATACTTGTATTCAATATGTATAAATCTAAATAATATTAAAGACTGTGGCCAAATACTGCCAATATGTTGTTGGGTTTTAACAAGCATCTGGGATAACATGTTGTTTATATAACAAACGATTGCGTTTAGCTTCGGTAAACGAAAGTAAGCGACAAAATGCACATACATTTGCTGGGA